AACGGGCAACTGTCTTCAATAACTGATTCTTTGCTTTAAAGGAAAATCCCCTTTTTAACTTCTCCTGGGCTGACTGTAATCTAACTGTAATCTAACTGTAAACCTACAACAACCCTGTATTCTAACTCTTACTGATGTGGGCTCTGCTACCGGGTCGAACTGCGTCTCAAGCACTGAGTGGACCTACCAATCAAACAGAAACTTCTCTTCTCTTCAATAAAGCTAAACAAATGCTTCCAAGCTTTATGCAGCTGGTGGCTTCCTAAACTTGCCCACGACGGACAGGCAATTGTCTTCAATAAATGATTCTTTACTTTAAAGGAAAATCCCTTTTTAACTTCTCCCAGGCTGACTGTAATCTAATCCTTACTGATGTGGGCTCCGCTACCGGGTAGAACTGCGTCTCGAAGCACCGAGTGGACCTACCAGTAAAGGCTTAGATGTTCTCCAGCTGGAGTTCTTTGGTCTTTAGGGCTGTTTTCCTGGAAATCTTTGGAGACTCTTAAGACTGTTTCCCCCCGGAAAGTCTTAAGGGTTGAAGCTTTAGTACAGGGGAAGCTTGCACACATCCTGTACATTAGTTTTCCTTGCTGAAACTAACTAAAAATGGCTCCCTTCCCTTCCCAATTGCCCTGAGCAAGGGGCGGGACTAAAATTTAACGATGATGGACAGGTGACTTGCCCTAAGACTGCAACCAAAGGAAGCCACCTATCTGCAGAGTCCCTGAAACCTAGGACTGCAAACAAACATTTAATACAAAGCAAATAAGTTTGGAGCTCCTGGTCCAGCCGTACCAGCACACATTATTTACAATGGCACACTAAAATGGTGTCCTTTCTATAAAATGCAAAATCAAGGTTTGCATTTGCGATTTTTAAAATACTTTCAAATCAGGAAAGGTCTAGTTGGTTCTAAAAGTATAGCCTTCATAGCAGTGTTTCTCAACCTTCCTAATGCCGCGGCCCCTTGATACAGTTCCACATGTCGTGGTGACCCCCAACTATCAAATTATTTTTGTTGCTACATCATAACTGTAATTTTGCTAGTGTTATGAATCCTAATGTAAATATTCAATATGCAGGATGTATTTTCATTCACATTTGGCACAATTACCCAATATGCCCAAATCTGAATGCTGGTGGGGTTGGGAGAGAATGATTTTGTCATTTGGGAGTTGTAGTTGCTGGGATTTATAGTTCACCTACAATCAAAGAGCATTCTGAACTCCACCAACCTTGGCACACCGAACTCCCATCATGACCAACAGAAAACACTAGAAGAGTTTGGTGGGCATTGACCTTGTGTTTGGGAGTTGTTGTTCACCTGCACCCAGAAAACACTGTGGAGTCAAACAATGATGGATCTGGACCAAACTTGGCACGAATACTCGATATGCCGAAATGTGAACACTGGTGGGGTTTGGGGAAAATAGAGCTTGATATTTGGGAGTTATCATTGCTGGGATTTACAGTTCACCTATGATCAAAGAGCCCTTTGAATCCCACCAATGGTAGAATTGGGTCAAACTTCCAACACAGAAGCCCTGTGACCAAGAGAAAATACTGTGTTTTCTGATGATCTTTGGTGACCCCTCTGACACCCCCTCGCGACCCACCCAGGGGTCCCGACCCCCAGGTTGAGAAACACTGCTCCATAGGATCTGGTTAAAGTGGTGTCATAGAGACCCAGTTCTCCCAAGGTCTTGTGCTCCCATTCCTAGATGATTGGCGCTCTGTTTTCTCCAGGACTGCCAGTCTTCTTCTTGCTTGGCTGCCTTTTTGCCTGCTCGGCTCTCTCCGTTTGAGCGCTAATTGCCTCCAATTGAATAAATCATTTGCCGCTCAAGTGGGTTAATTGGGTATTGTGGAAACAATCAATTCGATCTGCAACTTTTGCCTCCCTGACACTGCCTGTTTGTGGCGTTAATTGGGCAACGTGATGGGCCTCCTCTGCCTGGAAGCAAGACCAAAGCGAGCTCACTCGCTCAGCCAAGCCGCCGCAGTCATAGACAGGCTCAGTTTGCTCCAAAGGGGAAAGTTATTGTTGGATTTAAGCGGCTGATAGAGCACAATGAATCGATGGAGATCGATCTTCCACGTAAATACCAACTAGGTTGGAATGAGTCTCTGTGCGTGGTCCATCCTCCTCCAAACCGCACCAGGGTGTAGAGTGGGTCATGGGGGCTCTGTGTGTCAAATTTGGTCTTGATTAGTCATTACTGTGGGTAGCAGTGGTCTTAGGAAGTGAGTGAAGGCACTGCAAGTCCCATCATCCATGGTCCATCATCCCACAAACCACACCAGGCTGTAAAGTAGGCCATGGGGGCTCTGTGTGTAAAGTTTGGTCTTGATTAGTCATTGCTGTGGGTAGCGGTGGTCTCAAGAAGTGAGTGAAGGTACTGCAAGTCCCATCATCCATGGTCCAAACTCTCCCAAACTGCACCAGTATGTAGAGTGGGTCATGGGGGCTCTGTGTACCAAGTTTGATCTTGATTAGGCATTGCTGTGGGTAGCGGTGGTCTCAAGAAGTGAGTGAAGGTACTGCAAATCCCATCATCCATGGTCCAAACTCTCCCAAACTGCATCAGGATGTAGAGTGGGTCATGGGGGCTCTGTGTGCCAAATTTGGTCTTGATTAGTCATTGCTGTGGGTAGCAGTGGTCTCAGGAAGTGAGTGAAGGCACTGCAAGTCCCATCATCCATGGTCCATCATCCCACAAACCACACCAGACTGTAGAGTAGGCCATGGGGGCTCTGTGTGTAAAGTTAGGTCTTGATTAGTCATTGCTGTGGGTAGCGGTGGTCTCAAGAAGTGAGTGAAGGTACTGCAAGTCCCATCATCCATGGTCCAAACTCTCCCAAACTGCACCAGTATGTAGAGTGGGTCATGGGGGCTCTGTGTACCAAGTTTGATCTTGATTAGGCATTGCTGTGGGTAGCGGTGGTCTCAAGAAGTGAGTGAAGGTATTGCAAATCCCATCATCCATGGTCCAAACTCTCCCAAACTGCACCAGGATGTAGAGTGGGTCATGGGGGCTCTGTGTGCCAAATTTGGTCTTGATTAGTCATTGCTGTGGGTAGCAGTGGTCTCAGGAAGTGAGTGAAGGCACTGCAAGTCCCATCATCCATGGTCCATCATCCCACAAACCACACCAGACTGTAGAGTAGGCCATGGGGGCTCTGTGTGTAAAGTTAGGTCTTGATTAGTCATTGCTGTGGGTAGCGGTGGTCTCAAGAAGTGAGTGTAGGTACTGCAAGTTCCATCATCCATGGTCCAAACTCTCCCAAACTGCACCAGTATGTAGAGTGGGTCATGGGGGCTCTGTGTACCAAGTTTGATCTTGATTAGGCATTGCTGTGGGTAACGGTGGTCTCAAGAAGTGAGTGAAGGTACTGCAAATCCCATCATCCATGGTCCAAACTCTCCCAAACTGCACCAGTATGTAGAGTGGGTCACAGGGGCTCTATATGCCAAGTTTGGTCTTGATTAGTCATTGCTGTGGGTAGCAGTGGTCTCAAGAAGTGAGTGAAGATACTGCAAGTCCCATAATCCATGGTCCAAACTCTCCCAAACTGTGCCAGGATATAGAGCGTGTCATGAGGGCTCTGTGTGCCAAGTTTAGTCCTGATCCATCATTGGTGGGGGTCTCAGTGGTCTCAGGAAGTGAGTGAAGGTATTGCAAGACCCATCATCCATGGTCCAGCTTTGGCTAGCATGGAGAAGAGCTAAAAACCTATGGTGTTTCCATTGCTGCCTGTGCCTCTGTTCAGAAGAGTTCGCTCCACTTTCTCTTCCTGTGAGAATTGGATTTACCTTTCCAGGAGAGGATTTCCCTTCCTTTTGAGAGGTAGATCTCTCCTACTTCCTGTTGTCTCATCCCCATTCTTAACTGTGAGTCGTTTGTAAGTTGGATGTTTATAATCCGGGGGCTGCCTGTACTTTAAGCTGGGTGCCATTTTAGGAGAAAGGCAGACTATACAAGGGTTGAATGAAAAGTAATGCCTCCATCGTCATAACTCCTCAACAGATGGCAGTACTGGTAAGCGGCAGGTACTGGCTTGTTCAGTAGACTCTCCTCTACAGTTCCATTTAGGCGGGAAGCCTTAGCAGAAAAAGTGATGCCTCCACCTTCGTAACTTTGGTCCTGATCCATGGCAGTACTGGTATGTGGCAGGTACTGGCTTGTTCAGTAGATTCTCCTCTACAGTTCCATTTTAGCGGGAAGCCTTGGCATTGAACGGTTGTGTTGTTAAAGTGCAAAGTATGGAACCCTGCACAGACAGTTGGTCAATGAGACTTAAGCAAGGTCATTGAATTCTTGACAGCAGAAGATGTCGCCCCAAAGGAGATTCATCAGAGAAATTTCAGAGAAAAATTTCAAGCATAATCGGCATTTCACAAGAACGTGTAGGCCACATTATTGCTTTGCTTGGCTATCAGAAGATTTGTGCACGACAGGTTGCGGAAACAGAGTGTTGACTTCTTTCATGATGGCTTCAGAAAATTTGTTCACCGTTGGCAGAAATGTATCCAATTGTCTGGTGATTATGTTGAAAAGCGAATAGTGGTTGTTAAAGAGCACATTATGAGGATTATTTCTACGTTTGATTTATTAAAATATTCCCACCCAAACCTAAGTAACGAAGGGGGAGGCATTACTTTTCATTCAACCCTCGTAAAAACAATTCAGTGCAATTTTGATTTTGAATTAGGGTATATATGAAACCTGAAAATGAAAAATAACTTTTGCTGAGGAAGCACTTCCTTGCTGATATCCTGTTTCAAGGGTCAGTGGTGGGAAAGGAGACCTGATTCCTTCCGATTTTCTTACGATTTCCGACACTTCCGAATTTTTTGCACATGCCTAATTTCTGTACCTGATGCCTGTGTGTTTGGGTATTTTCCCAACCAGATGATGTACCGTTCCTCTCCAGACTCAGAAGGTATCCCATCATTCCTTGTCACCTGTCCTTAGCGGCCTGTCTTTGTTTCTCCGCAGGGTATCGGGAAGGATTCCTTTGGAAGAGAGGCCGGGACAACGGTCAGTTCTTGACCCGGAAATTTGTTCTTTCGGAACGGGAAGGCGCCTTGAAGTATTACAACAAAAATGACGTAAGGCTGCGGGCATCTCTTTGGGTCGCTGGTTTGGCTTTATTTAAAAACTATTTGGGGTACCCGATGATGCCTGGGTCATTTGAGAAAGTCGTTCGTTTTGGGATGCTAGGTAATACCATTTATTTAATTAATAACACTATTTATTAGAAAAAAAGCCAAATTTTGTTATCGTCCCTGGTTCATCCTCTCCCCAAACTCACCAGGATGTAAAGGGATGTCCTGAACCGGTGCCTGGCCGCTGTGCCAAGTTTGGTCCTGATCCATCATTGGTGATGGTCTGGATGAGGGCGAGCAAATTGAAGTTGAATCCAGACAAGACAGAGGTCCTCCTGGTCAGTCGCAAGGCCGAACAGGGCATAGGGTTACAGAGTATAGGGTCACAACCTGTGCTGGACAAGGTCACACTCCCCTTGAAGACCCAGGTTCTCAGCTTGGGAGTTCTCCTGGATTCATCCCCGAGCCGTCCGTTTTTTAATGATTTCAGACACTTCCGAATTTTATAACACTTCGGATATGGCTTCCGACTTGCAAAACTTCTGGTGGCCAGGGGAGCGTTCACACAATTAAAACTTGTGCGCCAGCTGCGCCCGTACCTTGGGAAGTCAGACTTGGCCATGGTGGTCCACGCTCTCGTTACATCTAGGATAGACTACTGCAATGCACTCTACGTGGGGTTGCCTTTGAAGACTGCTCGGAAGCTTCAAATAGTCCAACGATTTTCTTATGATTTCCGACACTTCCAAATTTTATAACGCTTCGGATATGGCTTCCGACTTACAAAACTTCCATTTTTAAAAATTTCTGACACTTCCAAAATTTATAACGCTTCGGATATGGTTTCCTACTTACAAAACTTCCAATTTTCTTATGATTTCTGACACTTTCCAATTTTATAATGCTTCAAATATGGCTTACGACTTACAAAACTTCTGATTTTCTTATGAATTCAGATATTTCCAAATTTTATAATGCTTCAGACGTGGCTTCCGACTTACAAAACTTCTGCTTTTTAAATGAATTTTGACACTTCTGATTTTTATAACGCTTCGGATATGGCTTCCGACTTACAAAACTTCCATTTTTTTATTTCTGATACTTCCGAATTTTATAATGCTTCGGATATGACTTCCGACTTACAAAACTTCCGATTTTCTTATGATTTCTGACACTTCCGAAATTTATAACGCTTCGGATATGGTTTCCGACTTACAAAACTTCCGATTTTCTTTTGATTTTTTAATAATGCTTCAGATATGACTTCCAATTTACAAAACTTCCGATTTTCTTATGATTTCCGACACTTCTGAATTTTATAACGCTTTGGATATGGTTTCCGACTTACAAAACTTCTGATTTTCTTATGAATTCAGACATTTCCAAATTTTATAATGCTTCGGACGTGGCTTCCGACTTACAAAACTTCAGATTTTTTAAAGAATTTTGACACTTCTGATTTTTATAACACTTCAGATATGGCTTCCGACTTACAAAACTTCCGATTTTCTTATGATTTCAGACATTTCCGAATTTTATAATGCTTCGGATGTGGCTTCCAACTTACAAAACTTCCAGTTTTCTTATGATTTCAGACATTTTGCAGCTTGGGTGTGATCTTGGATTCACCGCTGAGCCTGGAACCCCAGGTTTCAGCGGTGACCAGGGGAGCATTCGCATAATTAAACCTTGTGCACCAGCTGCGCCCGTACCTTGGGAAGTCTGACTTGGCCACAGTAGTCCACGCTCTGGTTACATCACGTTTAGACTACTGCAACGCTCTCTACGTGGGGTTGCCTTTGAAGACGGGTCGGAAGCTTCAATTGGTCCAATGCTCGGCAGCCATGATACTGACCGGGGCGGCGCAAAGGGAGCATACAACCCCTCTGCTGCTCCAGCTCCATTGGCTACCAATTTGCTACCGGGCTCAATTCAAAGTGCTGGCGTTGGCCTATAAAGCCCTAAATGGTTCTGGCCCAAGTTACCTATCCGATCGCATCTCCACCTACGAACCCACTAGGACTTTGAGATCTTCTGGGGAGGCCCTGCTCTCGATCCCGCCTGCAACACAGGCACGGCTGGCGGGGACGAGAGACAGGGCCTTCTCGGTGGTGGCTCCTCGGCTGTGGAACACCCTTCCCGTGGACATTAGATCAGCTCCCTCATTGATGGTATTACGGAGAAAAGTGAAAACATGATTTGAACAGGCATTTGAATAGGCAGTGCAATGAATTTTAGGAAATGGAGCTACGGATGACGAGTTTGGATCATGATTCTAGTTATGAGACGCCAATGAATGAATGTTTATTGTTGTTTAATTGCTTGGTCTGCTATTGTGTTAATTGTTTTTAAATACCTTGTTATGCTGCATTGAATTTTTGCTATTATTGTTGTTAATCACTATGAGTCGCCTAAGGGCTGAGAATGGCGGTATACAAGTGAAGTAAATAAATAATAAATAAATTTCCAAATTTTATAATGCTTCGGATTTGACTTCCGACTTGCCAAACTTCCAATTTTCTTTTGATTTCAGACATTTCCGAATTTTATAATGCTTCGGATGTGGCTTCCAACTTAACAAAACTTCCGGTTTTCTTATGATTTCTGACACTTCTGAATTTTATAATGCTTCGGATTTGACTTCTGACTTACAAAACTTCTGATTTTCTTCCGATTTCCGACACCTCCAATTTTTTTGCACATACCCTAAACGCCTCCGGCCCAGTTTACCTGTCTGAACGTATTCTCCCCTTTGAACCATCTAGGTTGTTAAGATCGTCTGGAGGGGCCCTGCTCTCGGTCCCACCGGCCTCTCAGGCGCGTCTGGTGGGGACGAGGGACGGGGCCTTCTCGGTGGTGGCCCCTCGACTCTGGAACTCTCTCGCACTGGAGATCAGTACCTCCCCCTCTATTCTGTCGTTCAGAAAACGGGTGAAAACCTGGCTATGGGGTTTGGCTTTCGACGAGTGGATCAATATTTCTGTGATCGGATAGATGACGATGAATGACGGACAACGAATTCACTATGACGACTGACTATTGTTATTATGGGATTGCATTTTGCTGTTATAGCGTTTTAATTGAATATGTTATATGATGTTTTTAATGATTGTTTTGTGATTTTATTATTGGAAACCGGCCCGAGTCCCCCAATAGAGGGGAGAAGACCGGTATACAAAATTGCTCAATAAATAAATTCCCTAATTCCTGCACCTGATGCTTGTGTGTTGTGTTTTTTTTTTCCAACCAGGCAAAAGATCCCAAAGCCATTATGAAGATCGAGCATTTGAACGCCACTTTCCAGCCTGGGAAAATCGGGAACCCGCACGGACTGCAGATCACGTACTTGAAGGACAACAGCACCCGGAACATCTTCATCTACCATGAAGATGGCAAGGTGGGGGCCCCGAAGTAAGGACGGACAGGGCTCTGCAACAAGCGTTTCCCACATGTGCGCCCCGTTGTCTGTGGCCTCATAGGACTAGGGAAGGGATCGCACATGCAGTGCAGGGATCCATGCTTGTTGGCGCATTCATTCTATGGCAGGCATGGGCCAACTTGGGCCCTCCAAGTGTTTTGGACTTCAGCTTCCAAAATTCCTAACATGCTTGTTCTACAATATTTTGTGTATAGAAGCAAAGAAGACAGGAATGTTAAGAAATGGAAAATAGAAAGCCCAATAGCGACCTTGTGAGTCACATTGCAATGAAATGGAACGAGAGGGGAAAATGAGCAAAGTGGGTACAGAAAGCAAAGCGCAATTTCCTGGGTTTCGCAACACAGGAAGCCCTTCGACAGGCCTTTCGCCAGTTCACCCGAAAGCATGCAAACAGAAACACAATGCCCTGACTTTGCCTCTCTCGAACCAAAGCCCTGCAACTGGGTCAGACTACAATTCCCATAGAACATAAGGAAGATGGGAACTGTAGTCTCAGAATGGCACTCGGTGGCTCGATCCACAGCCACCTTTTTGGTTACAAGCTGTGTTGACGTTGGTGCATCTACATGAGGTATGGGCAAACTTTGGCCCTTTGGGTGTTTTGGATTGCAACTCCCACAATTCCTAACAGCAAGGTGTGAATGTTTCAACTGACCACCTTGATTAGCATATAATGGCCTGACCGGGCCTAGAGCAAACTTTTGTTGAGAGGAGATTAGATGTTCTTGTTTGTGCAAAGGTTTAAACTGTATAACAACAAAGAGGAAAAAAACAAGAACATCTAATCTCCTCTCAACAAAAGTTTTCTCTAGGCACTGTCAGGCCATTATATGCTAATCAAGGTGGTCAGTTGAAACATTCACACCTTGCTCCAGCAGACAAGAGTCCTTTGTCCCACCCTGGTCATTCCACAGATATATAAACCCCTTTTCCTAATTCCAACAGACCTCACTACCTCTGAGGATGCTTGCCATAGATGCAGGCGAAACGTCAGGAGAGAATGCCTCTAGACCATGGCCATATAGCCCGAAAAAACCTACAACCCAGAGAGTAGATATATTTTTGGGCAACTAAAATAACACTTCCGAAGATCTGCTCAATATTTTGTGCATTGGCATATCTTTGTTCCTAACGGTTCAGAGAGATATCCTGGTATATCAGTCTAACAACCGAGGAACCTAATTTGCCTTGCATGGATACGAGTGGATATTTACCACTAAGGAGAAGGATACTTTAATGGGAGAATAGACACATTTTTGGGCAACTAAAATAACACTTCTGAAGATCTGCTCTATATTTTGTGCGTTGACATATATTTGTTCTTAGCAGTTCAGAGAGATATCCAGGTATATCAGTCTAACAACTGAGGAACTCAATTTGCCTTGCATGGACACGAGTGGATATTTAAGTCTGTATTTGTGCATTGGCATAACGGTTCAGAGAGATATCCCGGTATATCAGTCTAATAACTGAGGAACCTAATTTGCCTTGCATGGATACGAGTGGGCAACTAAAATAACACTTCCAAAGATCTGCTCTATGTTTTGTGCATTGGCATATCTTTGTTCCTAATGGTTCAGAGAGATATCCAGGTATATCAGTCTAACAACTGAGGAACCTAATTTGCCTTGCATGGATACGAGTGGGTATTTACCATTACCACTAAGGAGAAGGTTGACTCCAATGAGTGTTGAACTCTTCTCAGGAAGATCATAACTATTTGAGAGATAGCCAGGTATATCAGTCTAACAACCGAGGAACCTCATTTGCCTTGCATGGATACGAGTGGGTATTTACCATTACCACTAAGGAGAAGGTTGACTCCAATGAGTATTGAACTCTTCTCAGGAAGATCATACCTATTTGAGAGATAGCCAGGTATATCAGTCTAACAACCGAGGAACCTAATGTGCCTTGCATGGATACGAGTGGGTATTTACCACTGAGGAGAAGGTTGACTCCAATGAGTATTGAACTCTTCTCAGGAAGATCATACCTATTTGAGAGATAGCCAGGTATATGAGTCTAACAACCGAGGAACCTAATGTGCCTTGCATGGATACGAGTGGGTATTTACCACTGAGGAGAAGGTTGACTCCAATGAGTATTGAACTCTTCTCAGGAAGATCATAACTATTTGAGAGATAGCCAGGTATATCAGTCTAACAACCGAGGAACCTCATTTGCTTTGCATGGATACGAGTGGGTATTTACCATTACCACTTAGGAGAAGGTTGACTCCAATGAGTATTGAACTCTTCTCAGGAAGATCATACCTATTTGAGAGATAGCCAGGTATATCAGTCTAACAACCGAGGAACCTAATGTGCCTTGCATGGATACGAGTGGGTATTTACCATTACCACTAAGGAGAAGGTTGACTCCAATGAGTATTGAACTCTTCTCAGGAAGATCATACGTATTTGAGAGATAGCCAGCTATATCAGTCTAACAACTGAGGAACCTCATTTGCCTTGCATGGATACGAGTGGGTATTTACCATTACCACTAAGGAGAAGGTTGACTCCAATGAGTGTTGAACTCTTCTCAGGAAGATCATACCTATTTGAGAGATAGCCAGGTATATCAGTCTAACAACCGAGGAACCTCATTTGCCTTGCATGGATATGAGTGGGTATTTACCACTGAGGAGAAGGTTGACTCCAATGAGTATTGAACTCTTCTCAGGAAGATCATACTTTTTACAAAAGGAAGATCATACTTTTTCCAGGTCGTGTGGATGCCAATTAGTCTCCAAAAGGGTCACGCTTCCAAAAAGGCTGGTTTCCCAAAAGATTATGATCTCTAAAAGTCCGTGCCTTTCCAAAAGACTTAATCCAGTTTGACACCGCTTTCAGTGCCACGGCTCAAGGCTATGGAATCCTGGGAGTTGTAGTTTGTTTGGTGAGGCACCGGCACTCTTTGCCAGAGAATTATAAACATTTCCCATGAGTCCGTAACATTGAGTCGTAGTAGTTAAGGAGGAGTTAAAGTGCAATAAGTACAATAAGCACCTGCGGTCATTTGTTGTTTTCAGGGGCGCCCCCTGGAGGCTGTCTGGGGCAATTTATTTATTTATCGTGTCATCAGCATCCAGACATTTGTATTACATTTTTAACAAAAACAAACAAACAGACAGACAAAACACAGAATTTGCAAGCTTGGTGGTTGATTAAATGTCCTTTGACCAGTATCTGGCCCCTTGGAGTGCCTCTGGTGTTGCCGCAAGAAGGTCCTCCATGATGCATCATGTGGCAGGGCTCAGGTTGCATTGCAGCAGGTGGTCAGTGGTTTGCTCCTCTCCCCACTCGCATGTCGAGGATTCCACTTTGTGGCCCCATTTCTGAAGGTTGGCTCTGCATCTCGTGGTGCCAGAGCACAGTCTGTTCAGCGCCTTCCAAGTTGCCCAGTCTTGTGTGTGCCCAGGGGGGAGTCTCTCATCTGGTATCACCCATGGATTGAGGTTCTGGGTTTGAGCCTGCCACTTTTGGACTCTCGCTTGCTGAGGTGTTCCAGCAAGTGTCTCTGTAGATCTTAGAAAACTATTTCTTGATTTAAGTCATTGACATGCTGGCTGATACCCGAACAAGGGATGGGTTGGAGATGTCTCTGCCTTGGTCCTTTCACTATTGGCTGCTACTTCCCAGCGGATGTCTAGACAGTGTAATTTCTCCAGTAGTGTAGGGCGCAGACACCCCGTGATAATGCGGCATGTCTCATTAAGAGCCACATCCACTGTTTTAGCGTGGTGAGATGTGTTCCACACTGGGCATGCATACTCAGCAGCAGAGTAGCATAGCGCAAGGGCAGATGTCTTCACTGTGTCTGGTTGTGATCCCCAGGTTGTGCCAGTCAGCTTTCGTATGATATTGTTTCTAGCGCCCACTTTTTGCTTGATGTTCAGGCAGTGCTTCTTGTAGGTCAGGGCACGGTCCAGAGTGACTCCCAGGTATTTGGGTGCGCTGCAATGCTCCAGTGGGATTCCTTCCTTCCCAGGTAATAATCCTCAGAGCTCAGGATGCTTGTCTGTTCTTAAGGAGAAGAGCACATGTCTGTGTTTAAGATGGATTAGGAATAAGCTGGTTTCCCCTGTAATAGGCAGTAAAAAAGCATATGAGAGCTCCTGTTCAACCTTTTCAAAGCTCTCTGCTTGAGCAGTGATGGCACGATCGTCAGCATAGGGCATTTCCTCAGAGCTCGGGATGCTTGTCTGTTCTTAAGGTGAAAAGCACATGTCTGTGTTTTAGATGGATTAGGGATCAGTTGGTTTTCCCTGTAGTAGGCGGTAAGGGCACCTAGAGCTTCGGAGAGCTTCTGTTCTACCATCTCAAAGCTCCCTGCTTGAGCGGTGATGGCACGATCATCAGCATAGATGAAGCTCTCTGTCCCTTCTGGCAGTGGCTGGTCATTTGTGTAGATGTTGAACATGGATGGAGCAAGCACGCTCCCCTGAGGCAGGCCGTTCTTCTGTTTCCGCCATCTGCTTCTCTGGCTCTGAAACTCAACAAAGAAGCTCCTGTTTTGTAGCAGGTTTTCTATGAAGCGGGTGAGGTGGTCGTCTTTTGTGATATTATACATTTTTCTCAGGAGGAGGCGGTAGTTCACAGTATCATAAGCTGCTGGTTTCCTATTAGGGACATATAACTTTCCCTTATGAGTTCTATATGTCCCTTTTGGGGGGTGGGGGTGGAATCCATGATATTCCCGAATTTGAAAGTGCCCACAGTGACACCTATGCATTCTTAATGATTCAGTGTATGCAAATATTCTTTTGTGTGCAATATATTTCCTAATTCTAAACCAGGCACGGGCCAACTTTGGCCTTCTTTCCAATTGTTTTGGACTCCAACTCCCATCATTCCTAATAGCCTCAGGCTCCTTTCTCCCCCCCCCCCCCAGCCACCTAAGAGGAAAAGGAAAGGGAAAAGGAACAGGAAGGGGCCTGGGGCTGTTAGGAAATGTGGGAGTTGGAGTCCAAAACACCTAGAAGGAAGACCAAAGTTGGCCCAGGACTGGCTTCTATGGAAACTTCCATAGCATTGTGCTCTGCAAATATGCCGTCGCGCCTGGGGGCTATAACTTAGTGAAAGAGACATAGACGTGACATCTTTCCCTCAGGGGATTTCTTCTTGCCTTCCTTTAAAGAACTGGAACTCCCAAGGACCAAATCACTGTAGATAACTCAAAATAGGTTTTATTGTCCACAAAGAGTTATCCCTTTAAGGCAATAAGCTGGAAGTTTCAAAGGGGTAAAAGAAATATACATTACAGTCTCTGGTTGTCTTGGGTCCAAGGAGATTTCGCAGCTGAGAAGCTTTTCCTGTTCCCTCTTTTCTCAATGGCTGTGAAAGTCAGAACAAACACAACCCCCAGTCCAATGGCCTATGTTGAAGGCACAGAGTCTTCCTCTGGTGCCACAGGACTGGTTTGAAGGTGTTTGGGTCTCCTCAATGTTGTCCAGGGCGATCTGGGCATGAAGTATGAGTCCCAAGGGTAAAAACCTTAGAATTGGTGATGAGAGGTAACTTAATGAAGGGCTTTAGAGCCAAGTCTCTTTCTCACGTCTATCTGATAGAAAGTTTGATGGTAGAATGGAAAAGGAAAAGCTCTGCTCTCCTCCAGGAAGAGGTGGAGCCAAGAAATTGAGCTGAGGAGGCAATATAACTGGTGCAAGCAAATAATAGAGGAGAGAAAATAGCTCCCTGCGGGACCCCACAAGTTAGTAGAGATCTCTCGGAAACCATCCCTCCCCTCACCACAAGCTGTCCCCAATTCTGGAGGAAGGAGGACACCCATTTAAGGGGTATCCCCCTAACACCAGTCATGGCTAGGCGGTGGGTCAATAGATTGTGATCGACCGTATCAAATGCTGCTGTGAGGTCCAATAACACAAACAGCGCTGATCCGCCTTGATCCATCTGGCAGCGAAGCTGATCTGTGATGGCAACTAGCACAGTCTCCGTCCCGTGCCCCCTACAGAAGCCGGACTAGAAGGGATCAAGTCCAGCTGTGTCATTAAGGAACTGCTGCAACTGTCTCTGGTTGTCTTGGGTCCAAGGAGATTTCGCAGCTGAGAAGCTTTTCCTGTTCCCTCTTTTCTCAATGGCTGTGAAGGTCGGAATAATCACAACCTCCTTATCCAATGGCCTATGTTGTAGGCACAGAGTCTTTCTCTGGTGCTGCAGGACTGGTTTGAAGGCGCTTGGGTCTCCTCAACGTTGTCCAGGGCGATCTGGGCATGAAGTATGAGTCCCAAGGGTAAAAACTTTAGAATTGGTGATGAGAGGTAACTTAATTAAGGGCTTTAGAGCCAAGTCTCTTTCATAGTCATAGCAAACTTGCAAGATGCAGCCACTGTGTTGCGATGCCATGATCACCCGCATTTGGATTCAATTCACATCCAAAACGGGTGCAGCTCAACCGTTGTATCCGCTTTCATTTGCCTCTTTCTTGACCGTCGTTTCCTTCCTCCTTCCAGGAAATGGTGGACTGGTTCAACGCCATCCGAGCTGCCCGCTTCCATTACTTACAAGTGGCATTCCCCGGCGCAAGCAATGTGGACGTAAGCTGCCCTTTCCCTCTTCCTAGGATGACTTTACTATGGGTTGGGCAAAGGGAGTGTGGCGGAATCAAAATCACGCATAGTTTGTGTCGTTACCAATCCACACACTGTCTTGCTAGTGAAAAGATATGCCACACAGACGATCAGTAAAAGAGAAGGTGCTTACTCTTTGCTAGGCAGAGCAACATATATACAGTCATGTGAACAGTTGCATTGACTCACACAACCCTTTGAGAGATATTCAAAATAATCCTTAGGTATCCTGGGGAAAAGGTGTTTCCACTGAAGTTTTCTCTCCAACCCTTGTTTCCACAACAAGCCACATTTCTGAAAATCCAATTCTCAAAGGGACAGAAAGTGGAAGGAGGGAAAGAGAAAAAGGAAGGGAAAAATGGAAGGGAGAATTAATAGAGGGGAAGAAAAAGGAGGGAAGGAAGGAAAGAAGGAAGAGAAAGGAAAGCAAGAGAAAGAAGGGAAAAGGAAGGAAAACAAGAGAAGGAAGAGAAAGAAAAAGAAGAGAAAGAAGGGAAAAGGAAGGAAAGCAATACAAAAGAGGGAAGAGAAAGGAAAGCAAGAGAAAGAAGGGAAGAGAAAGGAAAGCAAGGGAGAGAGAAAGGAAGGGAAAGGAAAGCAAGAGAAAGAAGGGAAGAGAAAGGAAAACAAGAGAAAGAAGGGAAGAGAAAGGAAAGCAAGAGAGAGGGAGAAAGGAAGAGAAAGGAAAGCAAGAGAGAGAAAGGAAGATAAAGGAAAGCAAGAGAGAGAAGGAAAAAGAAAGGAAAGCAAGAGAAAGAAGAGAAGAGAAAGGAAAACAAGAGAAAGAAGGGAAAAGGAAGGAAAGCAAGAGAGGGAAGAGAAAAGAAAAGAAGAGAAAGAAGGGAAAAGGAAGGAAAGCAAGAGAGGGAAGAGAAAGGAAAAGAAGAGAAAGAAAGGAAAAGGAAGGAAAGCAAGACAAAGGAGGGAAGAGAAAGGAAAGCAAGAGAAAGAAGGGAAAAGAAAGGAAAGCAAGAGAAAGAAGGGAAAAGAAAGGAAAACAAGAGAAAGAAGGGGAAAGAAAAGAAAACAAGAGAAAGAAGGGAAGAGAAAGGAAAGCAAGAGAGGGAAGAGAAAGGAAAACAAGAGAAAGAAGGGAAGACAAAGGAAAACAAGAGAAGAGAAAGGAAAACAAGAGAAAAAAGGGAAAGAAAGGAAAGCAAGAGAAAGAAGGGAAAAGGAAGGAAAGCAAGAGAAAGAAGGGAAGAGAAAGGAAAGCAAGAGAAAGAAGGGAAGAGAAAAGAAAGCAAAAATAAGAAGAGAAAGAAAACAAGAGAGAGTAGGGAAGAGAAAGGAAAGCAAGAGGAAAAAAGGAAGAGAAAGGAAAACAAGAGAAAGAAGGGAAGAGAAAGGAAAACAAGAGAGAGAAGGGAGGAGAAAGAAAGCAAGAGAAAGAAGGGAAAAGGAAGGAAAGGAAGAGAGGGAAGAGAAAGGAAAACAAGAGAGAGAAGGGAAGAGAAAGGAAAACAAGAGAAAGAAGGGAAAAGGAAGGAAAGCAAAGGAAAAAAGGAAAGAGAAAGGAAAGCAAGAGAAAGAAGGGAAAAGAAGGAGAGGTGGAATCTACTGAATCTTCAGGCTGCAAAACAAACACTAAACTTGTCTCCACGGGTACATTATGTCGACTTGTACATGAGTCTATGCGCCAGTCTTGCTTTTCTATCTGCATTAACGTGACCCCTTCTTCCTCTTCTTCTTCTTCCCTGCTTCCTTCTTGGCCCTTTCCCGACTCCAGCTGGTGCCCAAGCTTTCTAGGAACTACCTGAAGGAAGGCTACATGGAGAAAACGGGGCCAAAGGTGGGACATGCTGTCTTTTCTATCCATGCCAAAAACTGTTCAATGGAGAAAAAGTTGCGGGCCTGAAAATAGCTGTTCTTTTATGATTTTGGGGTGATGAAAACGAAAATGACATTTAAAAATGTATATTGGCTCTAGTTTTTATGATATAAGCAATCACGTGATCACGTATGGTTGAAAAAATGCATGTTGCGACTTACACTATGGAAGATTCTAGAATACTCTAGAAAGTTTGATGACGCAGTATGAGTGCCGTGTGCAAAAGCCAGAAAGCCCTATATAAGGCCAGACTTTTGAACGGTGAGGGTCAGTCAGTTGAAGACTGAGACAGTATGACCCGTCGCAAACTAGCCTCCTGCGGGAGCAAACTGTGCCAGCACATCCCTGACGTCATGAGACTGCGCCTCTCTCCCCGCCCCTTTCTCAGCCTCTTTCTCCGTGCCAGAGTGGTTTTTCCTTTGCTAGGGCAGCATTGCCAGCGTACTCTCTCAGTTGCTTGAATTCTGCCAACTGAGAGAGTACGCTGGCAATGCTGCCCTAGCAAAGGAAAAACCACTCTGGCACGGAGAAAGAGGCTGAGAAAGGGGCGGGGAGAGAGGCGCAGTCTCATGACGTCAGGGACGTGCTGGCACAGTTTGCTCCCGCAGGAGGCTAGTTTGCGGCGGCTCTATCGTTAAGCATCATTTTACATTGTTCTTTTTACTGTAGTTCTGCCTCCTCGCACGTGTGTCAATAAAGCACAATGGAAAAAAGATCTCAAGGCCAATGGACTCCGTCAATGCTGTCAGACTCCTGCTGGAGCATTGGAAGAGGGAATCCTTTCCTTGAATACAAAAGAAAAGTCAAGAGAAGCAAACAGGATCTAAACTAAAGTCACGATTAAAGCGACATTTCAACTTTCAGACTTTTCAACTGCATTAGACCTAGAATCATAGAATAGAATCATAGAATCAGAGAGTTGGAAGAGACCTCATGGGCCATCCAGTCCAACCCCATTCTGCCAAGAAGCAGGAATATTGCATTCAAATCACCCCTGACAGATGGCCATCCAGCCTCTGTTTAAAAGCTTCCAAAGAAGGAGCCTCCACCACACTCCGGGGCAGAGAGTTCCACTGCTGAACGGCTCTCACAGTCAAGAAGTTCTTCCTCATGTTCAGATGGAATCTCCTCTCTTGTAGTCCGATGGAGTGCCTAAGCATACTGTACCTACTGAAGTCTAAAGCAAACATTCTAAAATGGAGTCTGAGTCCTGTAGAAGCCCAGACCTGATCCCACTGATCTAAAGTATCACTCTGTTTAGATAGTCTAATAGAGTCTCTATCTAGTCTGAATGTCCGATGGAGTGCCTAAGCATACTGTACCTACTGAAGTCTAAAGCAAACGTTCTAAAATGGAGTCTGAGTCCTGTAGAAGCCCAGACCTGATCCCACTGATCTAAAGTATCACTCTGTTTAGATAGTCTAATAGAGTCTCTATCTAGTCTGAATGTCCGATGGAGTGCCTAAGCATACTGTACCTACTGAAGTCTAAAGCAAACATTCTAAAATGGAGTCTGAGTCCTGAACAAGCCCAGACCTGATCCCACTGATCTAAAGTATCACTCTGTTTAGATAGTCTAATAGAGTCTTTGTCTAGTCTGAATGTCCAATGGAGTGCCTAAGCATACTGTTCCTACTGAAGTCTAAAGCAAACGTTCTAAAATGGAGTCTGAGTCCTGAACAAGCCCAGATCTGATCCCATGGTTTGCAGCCCCTCCTAGAAGGTTGCTATTTCCAACATATCTGGAGAGAAATGGGGCCTGTCTTGAGTACAGTGCTTTAGACAAATGATGAGGGCATCCCCTCGCCAGCCAGGAAGCTGAACTTTTGCCCCGGTCTGCAGTTCAAAGACATTACTAGAGAAGGCTGTGAAAATAGGACGCTGGTGGTCATGACATATATCCTGCAAGTGGCCAGTGTATTTTTACGCCAGCCAGACAGCTGAAACCTCCTAATAGTTTACCCAATAATAGCAGGACCGAAACGCCAGCTGTTTGGGAGAGACAGACTGAAGCAGACGGGGGCGAGAAGGTCATAACACAACGTTGTGTTCCTAAACCAGCCTTGGACTGGTCAGCATGTGGACTCTGTGCTTGCTTTTAAAGAGTCACACCCCAAGTTCTGTTTTCAGAAGGGCCTGCCCATTGTTCTGCCAGTTAGATACATTTTAATAATAATAATAATAATAATAATGTATAGGTTTTCCCCTAACATTAAGTCATAACAACAACAACAACAAGCTGGGTTGTTGTAGGTTTTTTCGGACTATATGGCCATGTTCTAGAGGCATTCTCCCCTGACGTTTCGCCTGCATCTATGGCAAGCATCCTCAGAGGTAGCAAGGTCTGTTGGAACTAGAAAAAAGGGTTTATATATCTGTGGAATGACCAGGGTGGGACAAAGGACTCTTGTCTGCTGGAGCTAGGTGTGAATGTTTCAACTGACCACCTTGATTAGCATTTGATGGCCTGATAGGGCGAAAGGTCAGGAGAGAATGCCTCTAGAACATGGCCATATAGCCCGAAAAAAACCTACAACAACCCAGTGATTCCGGCCATGAAAGCCTTCGACAATACATTGAACAACAACAACAACAATAATATGCTTTATTTATATTCTGCAAATGGCATTCATGCAAAGCAATTAGGTTTCTCAGCTGTTAGACTGATATACCTAGATATCTCTTTGAACTGTTAGGGACAAAGATATGCCATTGCACAAAAACATATATGTATGTATGTATGTATGTATGTATGTATGGATAGATAGATAGATAGATAGATAGATAGATAGATAGATAGATAGATAGATAGATAGAATCATAGAATCATAGAAAGAGTTGGAAGAGACCTCATGGGCCATCCAGTCCAACCCCCTGCCAAGAAGCAGGAATATTGCATTCAAATCACCCCTGACAGATGGCCATCCAGCCTCTGTTTAAAAGCTTCCAAAGAAGGAGCCTCCACCACACTCCGGGGCAGAGAGTTCCACTGCTGAACAGCTCTCACAGTCAGGAAGTTCTTCCTAATGTTCAGATGGAATCTCCTTTCCTGTAGTTTGAAGCCATTGTTCCGCGTCCTAGTCTCCAGGGCAGCAGAAAACAAGCTTGCTCCCTCCTCCCTATGACTTCCTCTCACATATTTATACATGGCTATCATGTCTCCTCTCAGCCTTCTCTTCTTCAGGCTCAAACATGCCCAGCTCTTTAAGCTGCTCCTCATAGGGCTTGTTCTCCAGACCCTTGATCATTTTAGTCGACCTCCTCTGGACACATTCCAGCTTGTCAATATCTCTCTTGAATTGCAAAGTTTCAGAAGTGTTCTTTCAGTTGCTCCAAAATATTCTCCCTTTAAAATCTTGGTTTAAATCAGGGGTCCTCAAACTAAGGCCCAAGGGCCGGATACGGCCCTCCAAGGTCATTTACCCGGCCTTCGCTAAGTATGAAATGACTTGAAAGCACACAATAACAACAACAAACCTCTCAACAAAAGTTTGCTCCAGGCTCTGTCAGACCATTATATGCTAATCAAGGTGGTCAGTTGGAACTGTCTATTAACTGGTGTTTAGAGTGGCTTGTAGATCTTCTGAATGCGCACAGATGACGTTGTCATCAGCATACTGGAGTTCTATAACAGATGTTGTTGTAACCTTGGTTTTGGCTTTCAGTCTGCTGAGGTTAAACAGCTTGCCATCTGTCCGATAGATGATTTCCACTCCGGTGGGAAGCTTCCCATCAACAAGGTGAAGTATCATAGCGATGAAGATGGAGAATAAAGTTGGGGCAATAACACATCCCTGTTTGACACCCGATTCCACCTTAAATGGGTCACTTTGGGAGCCATTGCTGTCCAAGACTGTTGCCATCATGTCATCATGGAGGAGCCTCAGGATGGCTCTCACAGTCAGGAAGTTATAGAATCATAGAATCAAAGAGTTGGAAGAGACCTCCTGGGCCATCCAGTCCAACTCCATTTTGCCAAGAAGCAGGAATATTGCATTCAAATCACCCCTGACAGATGGCCATCCAGCCTCTGTTTAAAAGCTTCCAAAGAAGGAGCCTCCACCACACTCGGGGCAGAGAGTTCCACTGCTGAACAGCTCTCACAGTCAGGAACATAGAATCATAGAAACAAAGAGTTGGAAGAGACCTCATGGGCCATCCAGTCCAACCCCCTGCCAAGAAGCAGGAATATTGCATTCAAATCACCCCTGACAGATGGCCATCCAGCCTCTGTTTAAAAGCTTCCAAAGAAGGAGCCTCCACCACACTCCGGGGCAGAGAGTTCCACTGCTGAACAGCTCTCACAGTCATAGAATCATAGAATCAAAGAGAGTTGGAAGAGACCTCATGGGCCATCCAGTCCAACCCCATCTGCCAAGAAGCAGGAATATTGCATTCAAATCACCCCTGACAGATGACCATCCAGCCTCTGTTTAAAAGCTTCCAAAGAAGGAGCCTCCACCACACTCTGGGGCAGAGAGTTCCACTGCTGAACGGCTCTCACAGGTAGATGGTTCTTGAGTGCTGTTTGGAGATGGGCTCGTCTGGAGGGCTCCTGAAGGGCTTGGGTGTTCATTTTGCGCCTTGTCTTCCTTCCTTGGAGTCTGCGCTTGGGGGCAATCTTGAGAGCCATCGAGGATCGAATTAGCCTGTGGTCAGTCCAGCAGTCGTCAGCACCTGTCATGGCTCTTGTGAGGAGCACGTCACGGCGGTCTCTGGCGCGTGTGATTACATAGTCTAAGAGGTGCCAATGCTTTGACCGGGGGTGCTTCCATGATGTCTTGAACTTGTTTTTCTGGCGGAAGAGCGTGTTGGTGATGACAAGGTTGTGTTCCGCACATTTGGTGAGAAGCAGGATGCCATTTGAGTTGCTGTTTCCAACCCCGTCTTTTCCTATGGTCCCTGGCCACAGGTCGCCCAGAGGCAGCCCTAGGTAATTTTCAAAGGTAAGCAAACAGTATTTTGCCCCCCCCCCAACCAATCATTGATATATATTTTCTGTTTGCGTGGGAGTTCTGTGTGCCATATTTGGTTCAATTCCATCATTGGTGGAGTTCAGAATGCTCTTTGATTGTAGGTGAACTATACATCCCAGTAACTACACTTGCCGCACTTGCTCCCTTGCCTGGCCCGCTTTGGGTCCGGAGGTGTGCCTGAAGACACCTCAAAAGTCACCTCTTCTCCTGACTTTCTCCTCAGCCATTGGGACCAAGAGAGAGAGAGAGAGGTGGAGATGCCCACCTTTCCTGAAGGTAGGCGCAAAAACAAAGGAGGGAGCGGAGGTGGGAGATACCTCCAGCCGGAGGGGCTCTCTCTCTCTCTCTCTTGGTCCCAATGGCTGAAGAGAAAGTCAGGAGAAGAGGCGACTTTTGGTGCACACGCTGGGGTCTTCAGACATGCCTCCGGACCCGAAGCGGGCCAGGCGCGGCAGCTCCGCCCCTTGGCCCACCCGCGGATTGGGGAGAGGAGAGGAGGTGGGTGGAGCGCTGGGGGATCGGGAAAGGGAGCCGGTCATGGGGAAGGGATCGAACGCGGAGAACGATTGAGCGCTGGCTCTGCTCGCGCACCCGGTGGCCGGGTGGAGCAGGAACGAGAGGGGCTAGGCGAGGCTCAAGGGCCCGGCCCCTTTGGGAAGAGGATCGCCCGGCAGCGAGGCAAGAAAGCCGAGGCTCCCCCCGGACTGCTAGGGCTGTTGTGAGCTGAGGGGGCGCTCCTCAAGTGGCGGTCGAGGGGCATTTACAGAGGCGCCTCTGCACCCCTGGCAAAAAAAAAAGTGTTCTGCGACCGCTTACTTCGCGTAATGGACGAGCCGCCCCTGCATACGCCCATTGGACGTATAGAAGCACCTGGTTAGCTCCTTGCAAGAGCAGAACATTGGGTGAGAAGAGCCTTTGGTCCGATCCAACTGGGTGTTATTATCACTTGCCGGACTTCATCCGGTTCCGGCTTCTCCGCGGTGCTTCTCTGCTCCGCCATCCAGCCCTGAAGGCCGAGACAGAGGCACGTCTTGCTCCTTCTCACGCTTCCTCCCTCTCCTAATTAAGGAGGTTTGCTGAGACGTTGATTATTTTTCTTGTTGCTCAGAGCCAAGAGGAATTTCATCAAGCCTCCGGTTTGTGTACTTAACCAATTCATTAGCTGTGAATTAAATCAACACAAGATTTTAATTTTTTTCTCTGTTCCTGAGGTGAGGAAGGGCTGCTCAAGTGTTGTGGGAAAGCGATGGAATCAATCACATTTAATTCAGCTGCTCAAGATTTTGAAAAAAAATTCACTGGGGTGAGACAAGGCTGCTCAAGTGTTGTGGGAAAGCGATGGAATCAATCACATTTAATTCAGCTGCTAGATTTCAAGATGCTTCCTCACACTATTCCGTTGGAAATCTATTGGATTTGGCCAAAATCCTCTCATTGATGCCAATTGAAGTGGACTGATTTAATCAATGGGATTTACGAGGGTTGAATGAAAAGTAATGCCTCCACCTTCGTAACTCCTCAACAGATGGCAGTACTGGTATGCGGCAGGCACTGGCTTGTTCAGTAGACTCTCCTCTACAGTTCCATTTTGGCAAGAAGCCTTAGCATTGAACAGTTGTGTTGTTAAAGTGTGAAGTATGGAGCAGGTACTGGCTTGTTCAGTAGACTCTCCTCTACAGTTCCATTTTGGCAGGAAGCCTTAGCAGAAAAAGTAATGCCTCCACCTTCGTAACTCCTCAACAGATGGCAGTACTGGTATGCAGCAGGTACTAGCTTGTTCAGTAGACTCTCCTCTACAGTTACATGTTGGTGGGAAGCCTTAGCAGAGAAAGTAATGCCTCCACCTTCGTAACTCCTCAACAGATGGCAGTACTGGTATGCGGCAGGTACTGGCTTGTTCACTAGACTCTCCTCTACAGTTCCATTCTGGCGGGAAGCCTTAGCACAAAAAGTAATGCCTCCACCTTCGTAACTCCTCAACAGATTGCAGTACTGGTATGCAGCAGGTACTGGCTTGTTCAGTAGACTCTCCTCTACAGTTCCATTTTGGCAGGAAGCCTTAGCATAAAGAAAAGTAATGCCTCCACCTTCGTAACTCCTCAACAGATGGCAGTACTGGTATGCGGCAGGTACTGGCTTGTTCAGTAGACTCTCCTCTACAGTTCCATTTTAGCGGGAAGCCTTGGCATTGAACGGTTGTGTTGTTAAAGTGCAAAGTATGGAACCCTGCGCAAGGCAGACTATACAAGGGTTGAATGAAAAGTAATGCCTCCACCTTCGTAACTCCTCAACAGGTGGCAGTACTGGTATGCAGCAGGTACTGGCTTGTTCAGTAGACTCTCCTCTCCAGTTCCACTTTAGCACGAAGCCTAAGCATAAAAAGTAATGCCTCCACCTTCCTAACTCCTCAACAGATGGCAGTACTGGTATGCAGCGGGTACTGGCTTGTTCAGTAGACTCTCCTCTACAGTTCCATCTTGGCGGGAAGCCTAAGCATAAAAAGTAATGCCTCCACCTTCCTAACTCCTCAACAGATGGCAGTACTGGTATGCAGCAGGTACTGGCTTGTTCAGTAGGATCTCCTCTACAGTTCCATTTTGGTGGGAAGCCTTAGCATCGAACGGTTGTGTTGTTAAAGTGAAAAGTAATGCCTCCATCTTCGTAACTCCTCAACAGATGGCAGTACTGGTATGCGGCAGGTACTGGCTTGTTCAGTAGACTCTCCTCTACAGTTCCATTTTGGTGGGAAGCCTTAGCAGAAAAAGTAATGCCTCCACCTTCGTAACTCCTCAACAGATGGCAGTACTGGTATGCGGCAGGTACTGGCTTGTTCAGTAGACTCTCCTCTACAGTTCCATTTTGGCAGGAAGCCTTAGCAGAAAAAGTAATGCCTCCACCTTCGTAACTCCTCAACAGATGGCAGGACTGGTATGCGGCAGGTACTGGCTTGTTCAGTAGATTGAATCAATGGGTTACGAGGGTTGAATGAAAAGTAATGCCTCCACCTTCCTAACTGCTCAACAGATGGCAGTACTGGTATGCGGCAAGTACTGGCTTGCTCAGTAGACTCTCCTCTACAGTTGTGCCAGTCAGCTTTCGTATGATATTATTTCTAGCACCCACTATTCACTTGATAGTTGAACAGTGCTTCTTGTAAGTCAGAGCACAGCCCAGAGTGACTCCCAGGTACTTGGTTGTGCTGCAATGCTCCAGTGGGGTTCCTCCCCAAGTCATCCTCAGAACTCGAGATGCTTGTCTGTTCGCATGATCATCAGCATAGATGAAACTTAGATGGATTAGGAATCAGCTGTTTTTCCCTGTAATAGGCAGTAAGAGCACCTAAAGCTTTGGAGAGCTTCTATTCAACCATTTCAAAGCTTTCTGATTGAGCAGTGATGGCAGGATCGTCCGCAT